TATGACATACAACTACTACTACTACAACTCATACTACTGACTACCACACTACTATACCACTTACTCCACTACAACACTATCATCTACTACACTACTTCCCACACTACCTCTATAACTACTACTATAACTACTAAACTACTACTACTGTTACTACTACTAGACCACTACATCTACATTACTACTATACTACACACACTAATACTAACTAATACACTATTACTATAATAATAATAATAATAATAATAATAATAATACATAATATAGATAATAATTATGAATAATAATAAAGTAGTCGATCCGGTGGCCCGAGATCGCTAAGGCAATATGTGCCGTAGCGGGGATCTGCGGACGCGAGGATCCGGCGGGTCCGCCTCGGGCCATGGTTGTGTTGTGTGTTTCATTTCATCATTTCTGCATCACAATTTCATCCCATCACCCAGTGCTAACGACCTGGGTGTAAAGAGATTGGAATTAGCGTACACAAATGCTTATTCCCCAATAGGAAAGCTAACTGCACCTAGCCCCCGATATCAAAGCTGAGACCCGGTTGGGATGCACTTATCTCGCGTGGCCGTCATGATGGCGATTTTCGCGTCAAAAGAAAAAAAACTTGGCACCAGCCGTTGCGGGTTGCCGGTTGTCTGCGAAAGGTTGAGTTCCAATCCTGTGTTAGAACGTTGTCGTATTTGCGATTGTCTTCCTTCACTATGCATAATATTCACTTATAATTCAATTTCAAGATTGGCAACCTTGTTTATCAAGTGGATAAACAGCCGAAAAATCTGATGCTAATTGTGCAACATTCAAACACACGTTAAATCCGTTAAATAATAATAATAATAACAACAATTGGGACGAATCAATGGCGGATCTCTATGGCAGAAGAGTGTAATGGTTTGGGCCACAAGTTCGCGTGGGTCGCTCGTCATGGTGTATTATGATGTCGTATAAGTTGTGTCGTCCTTTTCACCCCTCATCCTTGTCATCAAATTTCCATTTCAAACCCCAGGGCTAACACTGGGTGAATAAAAATCGGAATCTGGCCAAATGCGGCTCCACACCAGTGTTACATTGGCCTGCACCGCCAAGAATGTTACTTGAGGCACGGTGGTAAAGGATGCAGGGTGCAGTGCATGCGGTGTGTGGTACCTAGGTCGGCCTATTCGTTGAGCATGGGTAAAGAAGTAATAAACAAATAAAAATACAATAAATAAGTAATAAAATAACTACGTCCTACAAAAATGCTTTTATAACTGGAAAATTTACGTTACGGAACTATTACTTTACGAATAACTACTAATGGTCTACTTGGTGCCGCATCGTGCAGATGGCGCAAGCCAAACTGGGGGTTTATTTATGATATATTGAAACTCAACGTTTTCTTATGGCAGATACTTACGGTGCATTCTAACATTTTTTTTGGCGCCGATATATAAATTTAGTGAAATAAAGAGCCATTTTTAAATCTAATTCTGCAAATCATTTTGCTATATTCAGTAGGGTTAGTTACAGCATTTATAACTGAAGAAACGCTGGACAAATTTTTGTCTCTTGGTTTGTTGGATTCATTTTCGCGGCCCGCAATAGCAGAATCATTATTAAAATGTAGGAAATGCACTAGATGGCGCTGTGGACACGAAAATCTAAATATTCTTCCAAAGCAATGCAACCCAACACATTGGCAGGATTATATCATATATTATATAGATACTACTATATATATTATTATATAGCTATTCTATTAAATTATATATATATACACAAGCAGCTTAATGTTTCAACGAAGCGTTCTGGACATAAAAACTAGCAATTTTTTTCGCCAAGCATAGAACTTTTGGCAAAACAATAATCCACACCTAGAAATAGATTTTTGAACATCTAGTTAACAAATTTTTGCTGGTGGAGGACGGAGAAGAGAAAGGAAAATGAAGGGCAGAACAAACGTGATGGGTTCCACAGTTTAACTATAGTGTGTCCAATCGTAACCAATTTCAAACGTTTTTGCCGCCAATCGATTTTTCTGAATAAAGGACGCACAAAACATGGATTTTGGCTGCACCCCGTGTTAGGGAATTTTTTTTCCTATATTTAGCATCGGGATTTTATCCCACTTTTCCTTACCACGGCCCGGCAATAAGAGTTTTCCCGTTGAAAATTCACCGTTTTCCGGCGCTCATTTCGCCGGCGGAAATTTATAAAAAACCAAAAATACACAGAAATGAACTTCACATCATGTTAAAGAGTTCAATTAGCACTATCCGTTAGAAAAGTTTGAAAAAAAATTGGAGCTCTTTTTGAGAAAATGGCGTTTGGCGTTTCTGAAAATGCGGAAATTCGAACTAGTTTTCATAGAAAACGGTTGAGTTTTCGATAAACTTTATATGACTTTTTTAAAACACGTATTGATAAATACAATAATATGAACAAGTTGTTACTAATATAAATATAGCTACATGAGAGACAAAAGACAAAATTACATTATTGTAATTTTGAAAAAAACATCAGAGCAATACGACGTTTATGTCACATTTGCCAGGGGCGGATCCAGAGGCAAATTTTGGGAGGGAAAATTCAAAATGTTTTGGTCAAATGAGTCACATTACAGATTCTGTAAATATCACAGGCTACACTCAGGTCATGTGCTGCTACGATTTTTTAAAATGATTATCCGAAAATTTTTTGCTTGAAAGTTTCATGACACGTTAAAATTAATTGTTATCTAAAAATTTTAGGGAGGGATTTCCCTCACCGTTGATCCGCGCCAAATTCAGCACTATCCCTAACAAAAGTTTAAAGAAAAAAATATTGTAGCCTTTTTTGAGAAAATGTTGTTTTGGTAATTTTTTAAAATTGCACGTTTTGCTAGCAATATTGCGCGAAAACTACTAAAATTTTAAAAAAATGTACATGACCTTAATGAAATAACTCATTATAGGGAACAAATTGTATTTGAAGAAAAAAGTCTATATTTACTTTTATAGTTGTAGGAAGACACCGGAAAAAGTATACTTTTGAAAGTTTGTCGAAAGTTCAGAGTTAACCGTGAAAATCGGACCTATGCCACGTTTATAAGCGCATGTTACTATATTTAAAGAAAAAATGAAATTAAAGAATTAAAATTATAAGAAATTTAAAGAAAAAATGTGGGCCAGTTTTTGAGAAAATGTTGATGTCTGGAGGGATTCATGTAAAGTACCTCCAAACTTTCAAGTATGTTTTTCAAAATCTCAAAGTTTGGACTCGAGCCAGATGGTCAGGGTTTTCTTCAATTTGAAAAAATTCCTTCACCTGGTTTAGGAGCTAGTAGGGTTCACAGACGGAGGGGCAGACAGACAGACGCACAGACGGGCGTTTGGAAAAAAACGACCCTTTTGTATTTTCTTTGAAATCTCGCAATCGATTTTCCGCAGCATTAACTAACAAATTACACTAACTTTCCCAATACTACGTATATTTCGCCGTATATACGTACGTATACGGGAAAGTAAAAGTTGTTGTCACGGCACAAAAAATGTATTGAATAACGAGGGAATTATGTAGAAAAATAGTGTTTTTTTTCAAAATATAACCATTCAATTTTCTAAAATGGTTTTTATTTTTAAATTGTGTAATTTACTTTTGAGACGTCCCTCGTATTCTAATAACGTTACAAAACTGTTGCTTATTTTAAAGCTTCAATTACATTTCAACGATTTTAAATTTGTATGTGATTGAATAAACAGTAAGAGTGGTAAATTCAGTATCGTAATTGAAATCGAACGGATAAAGCTTGACTACCCAAAGAAACATTTCCGCGTTGAATACGAACAAAAGAGAATCAGCTGATTCTTTTCTGATTTTAATTTATGCACTAACAAAAATTATCCAAAAAGATAATGAATCTCAAACGGTTGCATTTTGAAACTAAAACAATATGCCATATGACATAGTGTTTAACTTTAACATTATTTATTTATGTATAATTTCGCTTCAGTTTCTTTACAGTAAGTTTACAAATTTCATAATGAACAAATATTTTTTTCCTTCATGAGACTTTTTTTTTAGAAAGCGCGGGGCTTAAACCGGAACTGCCTTAAGATGAATTCTGATAATGCTGAAATAAGATCATGTACATTTTTTGGAAAATTTGAGTACTTTTTGTGTAATTTTGAATGAAAATATGAGCGAGAAAGTATATGCTGTTGTAGCACCATTTATTACTAAAAAGTTTTATGAGATGTCAAAATTTATAGATACTGAAATTGGGGAGGGGGGATTTCTCTCATCCCCCCCCTCCGTGAATCCGCGCCTAGGCTCGATACTACGATATGGTAGGGTCTTGCTTGTGATATATCTATTTAAACAATATTCGTATACTGTGATTTGAGAAAAGGTGGATGCAAATAATTCTCTTGAACCTAAAGATACTTAAAGAAATAACGGTCGATAAAGTTGGCGCGTCGACTTCCAATGGCGACACCTTCAAATCATCAGTAAATATGATTACTGGAGAAGAGTTTCATTTGGTGGAATTCCAAAAAAAAAGAGATTAATTTACCTATTACATATTTTTAATTGCACAATTAATATTATAATTAACGTTAATTATCCCCAAAACTGACAAGAGTTACTTTTTTTGCGAATTGTTTGAAACTTATTTTTTCAAAACATCGCTAGTTTTAAACAAACATTTGACTTACGATGAATCGATGGATTTTTATTTACGTTGCTAAGGATGTTAAAACCTGTTGCTCAGGATGTTAAATTTCTTCTCATACAGGTACCTACATTTGCACTTAACGCACTTATCGGTCACTTAAAGTGACCGATAAACATTCTTGTTTCAAGTTGTTAATGAGTATAAATTAATTTAATACATTTTGCAAGCCACGTTTGACGATATGTTGTTTTCTTTTCCGAATACAAATCGTTGAAGTGTATTTCAGGGCATTAACTTTTTCGAGTTCGAAAAACGCGCGAAAGAAATTGTAGGACGATAGTAGCGCTTCAAGCGATTGCGACTGCACTGAGAAAACGCCAAAGCTCGATTCCTGCCTGTTTCAGCTCGGTAACGGTTCTTTCTTGCTTGTAGTTAAAAAACTGAGTAAATCAGGCGCATGTGTTGTATTGGCGTTGTATGTGGATATTGAATTAGTTTCAAACGTATTTTGAACTTCAACAGTGATACTAATTTTCATTACTTCATTTGTTGTACGGTAAAAATGACATCTTGTCGTTACTTCCTGTCGCAGTCATTTGCCGTTTTTGAATGATTAGAGGGATACTTGGAACTATAATCCGTATATATGTTCGTCAACTAATTTGCTTTGAAAACCAATTGTAAAGTAACCGAGAGTGTCAGACAAATATTAAACACAAGGTATGTGAAGGACTTGTATGACTATCTTAAAGAGAAGCTCATTGATGCTTGTTAAAACTTTTACTTGGATTCGAAAGATGGTTCAGATTGTTATGGTGGACCTTGTCTCAACCTACCGATTTTCATAGACAGCATAGATATCTTTCGGCAACATTCTAATTCTAATGTTCATGATAAAATAGTAATTTTAGATTCATAAAAACTGATTTGAACGAAATTTCAATATTGACCCTGGAATTTTACATTTAGATTATCAATTATTTTGACTTCCTCAATTTCAACAGCATTGAACAGGAGAAAGATTGTGAATTCTATCATGTATAAAATACGTAAATGAAATTAAAAGGGAAGTCTTACACTGGCTAAATATTTTAAAATTTTTGTTCCAGTTTGTAGTTTTATATGATAATTTGTTGCAGAACAATTGGATTAAGTCTTATGGTAATTTTTAAGCTAACATGCTGTCTCAAAATTTGGAAATAGGTGAGGATTGAAGAAAATCAGTGTTCAGATCTACACAAAATTTACTTTTTATTTAATTTATCACTTTGTTAATGATATCGATTTGTTGTCAAAGTGTTAGTCATCCTGATTGAGAATCAAATCCTAGTCTGCTGATTTTATGACCAGTTGCTTTAACCACTGAGCTACCAAGATGATTAATGCTTTGAATAGTTTCTTAGATCTGATTTTTGCTTGGCACTTGATATCACAGTGTTGCCACCCTCATACCGTTTTACGTGAGCAATTTCGATTGATATTTACAATGTGGAACATAATTCTGATGTAAACGTACCAGCTTGGGTGGCTCAGGGCATCAATTGATACCACTGTAGTGCCTCTGACCAATTCCTAGGGTTAGAGTCCAGTCAGTGGCAAGATTATTTACTCTTAACTAGATACCGAGGCCAAATTCAGCTGCTGCCTTGAGGAGAATTCTAATGTCCAGCTGCGCTCATCCGTAGTTTTCCGTGATTTCTCTGATCAATAGTGAATGCTGGAGCAGTACCGTACCAAACGGACTGTGAGCAGTCTTTCCTGCCTCTTTCTTGTCCTATCCTCATCCCTTACTCACCCACTTCATCCCATGTCATGAGACCAGTTGGAACCTTAGAGCTTGTCCCGTCTGGGTGGTGCCCTGCTTTTTGGGGAGAATCCCACAAGCCAACATGAATGTTGGTGGAGTATCTCACCTCCAGCAGGGCAAGATAAACACCAGCACAATAAAAACAAGCACTAAGCTTTTGAGACTAATAACCTTGGGTGTATCAGTCAGATGTAATTGCCTGTCCAACAAGGTTTCACAATTTTTTATGAGTTTTAAAATTTGTTGAAATTAATACATGGAAATCACATGCAATTCACTTCACAAGAAAAATTGTTAATTGGCAATGGCAATTAAATAACAGTTACACTGTTATTTAAGTATTCACTGCCTTGTCACATTGTTGTATATGTAATTATGACAGATATTTACTCTCTGCAACATATTTGTGATATAATTGTCTATCCAAGAAGATGATTGGCTAGTGACTTATCAAATAACTGTACATTTAGTTTTTATGGAAAGTTTAGGAATTACTTTTATTTATTATGTATCATTTGAAACTTTACGCTGGGAATATTTCCCAACACCATTTACGTCTGGGAATATTAGTGATTGTTGGACTGCTAACATTACTCTTCATAATATTCCGTATGCCTTCTAAGGGATTAAGGTCTGGGCTGTTCCCTGGCCAGTGCAGTACTTTGTTGACCAACTACTACAGATCACTCTTGATCAATTTTGAAGTGTGGCAAAGTGCCCCATCCTGCATGAAATTTTCATCATATCTGGATACCACTTGCTCATGTTAGGCAATTATCCTGGACAAGTTTGTATCGTTCCTTCTTAATTGCACCTTCAATATCCTAGTGCTGTGGACAGATATGACACTCCATGCCATAAATTTACCTGTGTATTTCACAGTTTCCTTAATGCACTCGGACATAAACTGCTCTTCAGGTAGTCTTCATACTTTCTGCTGCTGATCTTGTATAATTTCCCCCATCAACTCATCTGAGAAGCAAACTAGCTTCCTAGGAAGCAGTAAAAAGAATGAAAATAATCAGTAGTTGAAAATATTTTTTTAATTTTAATAATGCCTGCAACAGTGTAGTCAGAAAACAAAATTAATTC